GAAAGCAACAGGCTTTACTAGGAACCAATAATATAAAAAACAATACCTGGTACACATATGAACATTTATTATTATGAATAATAATATTATTGATTCAAGTTGGGAAATTTTCTTTTTGCCTACCCTATTGTGCTCTCCATGGGCAGGTGAGAGCAAGTCTGGCAGTGAAGGGCATCCACCTGATGAGCTGAGACTTAATGGGGATCTGAGTATTCTGCCAAGGCTTGAACTGGTGATCTGATTACAGGCACAAAGATTTAGCCTTCTGAACCACATGCTGCCCCCTTATAGTTTGCAAATATAATTTTGTGGTCATAGAGCAGGCAAAGGGTCGATGTCCAGAGAAGTCAGTCCTATACGGAGTCACGGGACCAGATGACGAGGGGAAGGGACACATGAAGCTGATGAAGGAGCAGGGCAGGAGGGAGCAGGCAGATAGAAGAAGGCGGGTGGATGGAACAGGCGAGACAGGCAGGTCAGATGAAACAGCAGGGCAGGACACAGCAGGCAGGGCGTTCGGGGAAGACAAGAGACATAGAATCGCTTAGTATGGCACATTCGAACAATGGCAACAATACTTCGCAATGAGCCTGGTCATGGACATCCTTAAGAAGCGGAGAAATTAGCTACCGATTGCGTGCTGGTGCTCGGTCCTTCCCTCGTGGGCGTGACAGCCTCAGGGTTGGCAGATGGACACTCCACCACCCCCCCCATGATGTATACGTATGTGCCATTTGCATGTTCTCACTGTTTATGTGTGCGTATCTCTACCTTCCCTCCTCAGCCAAAAAAAATTGGCTATAGTTTGCATATTAAATTACTATTGCAATAGTAGTCAAAGAGCAAACTGAAAACTTAATATCAAACTGTCAGTTACTGAAGACTGACAAGAGCATCAAATTTAAGAATATCCATTCATCCATCAACCATCCAAATTGTTATGCTCAGTGTTGTTGGAATTTTAAGTATACATGAAGTCAAAGTTAAAAGAGTAGAACTGAATAGCTGTTTATTTCATTCTCAATGATTAACAATACAAAGATACAGCCTTTCATGAAGGATAATCTCCATTTTAAAAAAGACAAAAAGATGTATTTAGAAAAACTGAGTCTGTATAAAATATGAAGCCAATGTGGCCCTTTTATGTGAAACTTTGGACAGGAGCTTCCTCGGGCAGCACTGTCAGTCCCTCCTCTCCCACATCATCATAGTCAGTCTGGTTGGATTCAGGGGGGCACCCCAAGAGTGTAGTGTGGTCAAGGCTCTCTCACCTACAGGGACAGGGTTGGGGACACATGATAATGACAATGAATAGAAATGAGAGAGGTATTTACGGTGTGTGAGCAAATAATATGTCAGGGAAATGATTTGGTTTTAGAGAGTGATTTTATAATTCACATGTCTTGGTTGAGGAATTGCACAATAGAAAAGAAAAATGAGAAACTTATTGGAATTAGAATTTGAAGCATTTTATTGTCGATATACCCTGTAAAAAAAGACAATTCCCCCATGGTGATCAATAAAAGTATCAATTAATTAACAAAATTGCAGCGCAGCGACCCCTTCAGATACATCAAAGAACATTCAGTCATTTATACAGTGACTATAGAAAGCACTACAAATAAATACTACTGAATAAAACTCATATAAACATGTGTACACAATATTTATATTAGCAATAGAGCAAATATTGCACTTGGCTGTAGTTTTTACACAAATACTGCACATCAGAGCATGTGAGCGGAGTGGAGCGGTGAGAATTTCCGATCCTCGCTCAAGAGGCTGTTGGCTCCGCCCGCTCCTCCGCTCTAATTCGCACTAAGCCGTACCGCTCAACACCGCTCCTCGCTCCACTAAAATTTCCTCCCGCTCCAGTCAAATTGCATGCCTAACAAATGTCACCTTAAGCCGAAGCCTTATATCATAAAGAAATATGAGCAACGGCAACATTGCCAGTCAGAACATAAACTATTTATTTTTAAGCAACATATAGGCAACAACAGACAGGTTTGGCAATGGCATTCCACACAAAAATAGGCTTAAAAATAAAGAAATCAGTGGGCTTAATAGCCTAAAGAATATACAGGCACGTTTTAAATTCCTCAATTTTTTTTCTGTTGATGCTGCTGCTGCGTCTCTCTATAAAATAAAATTTCACTGACAGCATTTAAAACATCCTATTAGACCTACTTTGAATAACAAAACGAATTTATTTGATTACCAATATTTACTTTAATAGGCTTTTGTACTTTAATTTACTTTATAGACTTGATATGCTACAACCATATACTGTAAAACTTGCTCGCGTTTTGCTCTGGCTTCTGCCTGTGTGCGTAGCACACTCATGTTTCTGAGAAAACTGATTCCAAAGTGAATCTTTACTCACTGAAACAGTTTCACCACATTGTTGTTCTTGCTCTACATTATTGTTATCTATACGTTAGATAAGAATAGTACAATTGTATGATCTATCAGTTTCCTTTGTGAAGTACTTTGCGAATTCCATCTCGTTCCAATTTGTGTAACAGTCTCGATAATTACAGATGAATTCTTGGTAGATTTCGGCACGCTTCAGAATCGTAGTGTGAGCGGAATCGGAGTGAAATTGGAGCGAGACAGAGCGACCACTCCAGCCTTAATTAAAAAACCGCTCTGCACTCTGACTAAATTCTGCCCGCTCCGCTCCTCGCTCACGCTCCTCTCCACTCCGCTCACATGCTCTGCTACACATCCAGAGAAGAGGTGGGGGTGGAGGGAGAGAGACAGAGGCAGAAACCCAGAGAGGGATGGTCAGTGCATGTCAAGGTTCAGTGCTGTTATGGCTCTGGGAGAGAAGCTGTCCCTCAGTCTGCTTGTCTCTGGTTTGATGAACCTGTAGCACCTACCATGTGAGAAAAACACTGGTGTTAAAGAAACTGTGGTCTGAGGTGGACGATACCAACAGACTCAACAAACTAATCAGGAAGGCTAAGTTCAAGGGGTGGAACTGGACACTATTGTGGCAGAAAGGATGATGAGGTTGATTATGGACAACGTCACTCACTCGTTTCACAGTGTACTGCTTGGACAGAATAGCACATTCAGCTGCAGACTGCTCAACATGAAATACTC